CAAAGACGCGCGGGATGACAAGTGTAGGACCGCCCTCATACATGCAGCAGATGCTGGTTTTGCTGAGGTCGCACGCTTGCTTGTGGAAGCTGGTGCGGACATCCACTTGTCGGATGTGAATGGAGACACCGCATTTTTTGAAGCAGCTTCTCGGGAGCACCTCAAGATCGTGCACATGTTGATCGACTTTGGTGCGGACAAGGACGTAAGGCATGAACAGTCCGGCATGACCGTGCTGATGTGTGCAGCAGATTCTGGCCACTCGGAGCTCGTGCGTCTGCTAGTGGAAGCTGGCGCTGACAAGGATCTGCAGAACGATGAAGGCCGAACGGCCCTCATGCTCGCCGCGGAGTCGGGCAAGACTGCAATTGTGCGGTTTCTTGTGGATTCCGGGGCGGACGTGTGCGTCCGGGATGAGTGTTACGGCGAGACGGCACTCACGAAAGCAGTGTCTCAAGGGCACTCTGAGATTGTGCGCCTTCTGCTGAATGCAGGGGCCCACATCGGCATCAACGTCTGGGGTGATGGCCTGCATGATGCTCTAGCTACCAGCGCCCTTCGAGGGTTCTGTCCTTTTGTGTGCATGTTGCTGGATGCTGGTGCTGACAAGGACACGATCAGCGAGAACGGCATGACCGCCCTCATGTTGGCAGCAGCTGCTGGCCATGCCGATGTCGTAAGGCTGCTTGTCGACGCTGGTGCAGACAAAGACGTCCGGGATCATGATGGCATGACAGCCTTTGCGCATGCGCAGCGTTTCGGATTTGATGAGTTGGAAGGCCTACTATGCCATGGGCCCTTACACCTTCCATCCGACACGGGAGCGAAGCGACGCCGACTTTGAACGAGACTTGGAGTGCTCGTTCCCTGCACCTCATGAATGACACGGCCGGCTGCCGAAACATGTTGGAGCTGGAGCAGATGAAACTGCACTGGCAGCACAGCTGCTATCACTCATGAGCCATCCCACGACTCTTCATTGCAGCGCAGACGGCTTGGACTTCAAACTGTGAAAGTACTTTGGATGTTCGAGCCTTGTGCCGGCAAGACCAGCAGTCGGGAGCCAAAACACCAGTTTTCTTACCTCGAAGGTTTAAACTGCATTGCTTCAAAGCAAGCTATCAAAGGCTTGTTCTTTGTGGGGCCGAGGATGAACGCTGGTGTTCGAGGCATTCTGAAGCTTCCTGCACTTGAAGCAGTCACAACCCGAAAGCCTCATGTTAAACTGTTAACATTGTAAAGCCGTCCCCAATTACAAGAATCGCCTGCTTAGCCTTTGACAACAGGCCCCCTGCGCCAAAGCAAACCAAGGCTTTCGTAAACTGTCGTGGGTTCCGTGGGGCATGTTTTACATGCAAATCGAAGTCAAGCTTTGACATACACTTGCATGACACATACAAAAGCGTGCTATCATATGTGCATGAATGTAGTATGAGAGCATGCAGAGGGCTACGCATGCACGACTCACGCGCGCACGCACATGTACAAATGGATGTATATCTGTCTGTATTGCATCACACATTGACATGCACGACTGCATATACGTAGCAAGAGTGTAAACAGCAAGCAGGCAACTACTGGGGACAACCCGACACCTAGCCCTTACAGTAAATGTTTAACCAAAAACTCCGACACATACCTTTCGCGAGCCGAAGAAGTCGCGAATGAGGCGGTGCAAGATGGTTTGCCTCCATTTCTTTGCTCGCTGCTGGCCTACAGCTGCTTGGGCCCAGAAGCATAAGGGTTGAGGGGTTGGGGTGCAGGTTTTTAGGATTGGGAGGGAAAGAGGGGTGGTGGAGGCGGGCTCAGGTGTTTGGAGATGGGCCTGGCGCCCTATACTGGGTACCGAAAATGATAGTTAATGTGACATTTACAGAAACTGTGTTCTGATTAGTGAGGCCACCGTATCGCTTCTGTCGTGGTTGCCTTCGTCAACCGATGAGAACCGCAACGAGCTGTCTCTGTGGCGAAGAAGTGCTGTACCCGACACCGTACCCTTTGAAACCCTTCCGCTTAACCATGTCTACGACACAAGGGGAGCACTTTTGGTCGGTTGTGGGTCAGCTTGCTTGGCTAGGATTGCTCCGGAGCAGGCTGGATGCAAAACGGTGTGCTCCGTAAGGCCTCGTCACCTCGTCTCTTGGCAGTAGAGCTAGTAAAACCGCGCTGATCTCCCGTTATTGTATAACTGTTTGCTCGTAGTGCAGTGCGAAGTGTCAACTGGCGTACTCTCACGATGGCATCGGTGTCCCACGTTTACCAGCTACGAACCGAGAGAGCCCTCAAGCCTGGAATGAGAAGCCCTGACCTCTCCGTCCGCCCGGAACCTGGCGACCTTGTTTCGGACCCAGCAGTACTACAGGAAACTAAGGTTCTAAATCGGAAGCTTCGGAGCGGGGCATTTTTGTCTCAGCTTTTTTTTTAGTTAAACCAAGTGACGAGATGTTTCTTTGTTGCACGTCCGAGTCCGAATAACTGGTTTTTAAGATTTGGATGCAAGAACTGAACAGGTCGCCCAGAAGGATGTGCCAAATCAAGGCCCGTTTTAACTCGACTCGTCAACGGCTGCAGGCAATACACATGATGATGACATGGAGACGCTGAAGAAGGAAATTTCCTTTGTGGAGGCATCCAGCGGGAGCTTCCAGCCTTTCACAGGGGTGTCGATCCGGGAGTTTAGCTGGCTCAGCTGCAACAGTGAGATTCCATAGAGCCCTAAACCTAAACCCTAAACCCTCAACCCTCAACCCTAAAACCCTAAACCCTAAACCCACGACCGACCACTGCCTCCAAGAGTCTGCTGCAGGACGAGAAGCAGAGGTACACATGGAGTCTCCACCTTCACAAGGACGAACGTGCAGGGTGGGTTTAGGGTTTAGGGTTTAGGGTTTTAGGGTTTAGGGTTTTTGAGAGTTCTGTGTATGTGAGCTGTTCGGAGAACGCTCTTGCTCCCGTCACACGCATCGGCCTCAGTACGGGTTCAAAAAAAAGGGTTTAGGGTTTTAGGGTTTAGGGTTTACGGTTCGCCTGCAGCAAAGGCAAACCTTCAGGCAAATGCGCATGCTGCTTGCCCGGCTAGCGGCTAGCTGTTCGGCTCACGCATCGGGAGGGTTTTCCCAAGCGCCTCCGAATTCTCCGCATGTTTTGACTACTATAGGGGTTAAGTATAATTGGCTTTTGGGATACATTAGTCCCCAAATAGTATTGGTAATTATCTAGGCCCTTATCTTAAGTCTGCGCCAGCAATGCATTCATCCGTATTCATTGTGTGATGGCTCTCCAGCAAAAGGTCCGATGCAAGTCGGGATGGCGAGGAGCTCACTGGACTTTTCTGGTTCCCTAGCTCCATGATGGCATGGCAACTCTGCAATAAAGAAGGCTATCGTGGCACTTTCTAGCTACCGAAACATCATATTATGAGCAACTCCTCCACTTCAACACTCCTTTTCCGGGCCACAGCAGATGAAATCATGTCCGGAGGTTCTGCCCTCGACAGCTTATAGAAAGGATGGTCCTGCACATGTCGTCGGGATAATCTGCAGCGAGAAAAAGTTCCAGCGAGATTACTGATCGATTCAGACTTCGAGTGTAGCTGTGCTGCAGGTCACGATCGTCTAGGCAGTAAGCGCATGGGCATCCAAGCGCCCTCGCAGCTCTCGCCGGCACCCTCCGTCTCTGACATGAAATGCCCTGCGTGGCTGGGCTGCAGCAGATCCGACAATAGCCGCCGGACCGTTGCTCTCCGGCACGGACACAGTTTGGCTCAGTTTATAGCTCAAGTTTGACTTTTCAAGTCAGGGTCCGGGGGCGGTGTCATGATCAATGCGCCATAACGCGCCTATCAAGATTGGACAGGAGAGATATTGAAGACTTCCAGGCGCCCAAGCGCCAGTCCCGTTCCGCGGACCCTCCGCCGACTCTGCAATGCCCTCTGTGGCTAGGCTGGCAGATTCTGCGGCAAAAAAAGGCAGAATCTGCCAGCCCAGCCACAGAGGGCATTGCAAAGTCTCTGCCATTGCAGCGAACCCTTGCACTCCGGCACGAACCGCGAATTATCTACACATCGATTCATTCAAGTCTGAAGAAGCCGACAGAAAGTAAAGGTCCGGCAACGTAGTGGCCCCTTGATTCCCGATCAAAGTGTTTTCCAATGCTTTCAAGGACTGTTGCCAACGATTGGGCACCTAAGTGCCCTTCCCGTTGATCAGACCCTCCGCAGACTCTACAAAGCCCGTGGCTGCACTGGCAGATTCTGCAACCCTTGCACTCCGGCGCGGTCCACCAAATCTCGACTTCCCGTTTCCATCACATCTTCGATGTATAAAGGTCCGAGGACAGCGTGGCTGCTTGATGCCTCCCTTGAGAATGGCTGTGGTTCGGCATCGTTCTCAGGAGATGCACCCAAGGCCGTTATCCTGCACAGCATCGGCGTTCCGGATCGTGGCTTTGTCCTATTTCTGGGACCCCAAGATGGGGAAGGCAAACAGTCAGACGACGATGGCCGCGATGATAGCTTACCAGCTTCATAGACCTTTGTTCACAGACGGTGTGCGGATGACTTGTTTCTTGGGCGAACGATTGCTGATGGGCAGTACTCTGTGTCGGCTTTGGTGATCAATTCTGGAGCCAGTGAGGCTGCGAAGCATAGCGGGCAATTTATTTTTCACATCTCCCCCGAGGAATCTCGCCAGCACTCTTAGCTCACATTCAGGATGGACCGTCTCCTGCATGCAGTTGATCTCGGCCTAGATGTACGTTCCATGGTCATTGACCCCTTTTTCGTATTGCTCCATGCATGCCTGCTGCGTCGATTCCACTCATGCCGCGATACGATCGTGGGCTTTTGCTTTCGTTCGTTTTTTGATTGGCTGCGCGATCCGACTGCGAGGCCACTGAAATGGAGAGATGGTCTGAAACGACCATCCGCTGTGGGCAGCTTGATGCGACCGAATACTTGATCCGCGCGCATTGCGCTGACGGCAGGCGATCTGACAGGACCCATGTCCCATGAAACATTCGAAGCACCCAGCTGGTCGGACGAAATTACCATCAACGGGAACGTCCGAGCTGCGGAGGCAGCACGCTTGGCCTATCACCTCTGCAGACATCGCTATCAGGTTGTCATTGTTCAGCTGATGCGGTGGTGGTCGCGCAAGGGTAGAAGGGTTCCAGTGGCATCCAGTGGTGTGGTTGGCCACGTCGCTGCGTTTGCTCTTGCGGTGCCTGCGGTGCCCCAGATTTTGAGCATGCCCGACCCGTGGGAACGTGATGTGCTGCGAAGCCAGCCGTGTACCGCCGTCGACGTGCTGGGCAACTCGATAGCAACCCCAGACCCCCAAAAGGATTTAATAAATAGATCCTTAATTAGGGACCCTAACTACTAAAGGGTACTCTATAGGAACCCCCTTAGGGGATCTATTTTTTAGACGCTTTTGGGGGTCTGGGACACTGAGCAGGTGGCGAAGTCAGATGATCACGCCAGCATGCAGGCAGGGAGTCGAACGAACAGTTTGGTCCAGAGGTGATGCAAGAGGTGATTCAGGAACTGGTGCATGAATTCCCGGAAAGTTTGGTGGCAGAAACAGGTGGGAGCCACAATTTCAGGGCATGTGAGCCGCGGCCACTTCGCAGCCTCGGTTATGGATCCATGATCACGAGTGTGTTTACCAGGGACAGCTTCCCACCAGGCAGCTGAAAGGATCTACTCGGGAAAGCTCAACAGAATCCCCAAAGAGCTCCTGAAGGAGCTTTCTTCCGGTCCGGTGTTGCAACCTTGTCGCCGCTTGCTCGAGGCCGAGGGACTTGGAAACTGTCGCGCAGAGCATTGATGTTCTTGAGCCCCTCACAGCACGTCGACGTGGTAACAGCGCATGCCGACGAGCAGCTCTATCCCGATCACATCATCTTCGCAGACTCTTTCGAGTACTTGATTTGCAAAGTGCTCGGAAAGCATTGGGCCTGGATGAAGGACCGGAGCGCAATTGCCACAGATGGCATCGGAGTATCTGCTGACTGCAGGGCTGAGGCTGGAGATTAGGAAAGCGATGCAGACTCAGGGTTTAGGGTTCAGATGACACGAATCGCAAGAATCCCAAGATTTAGAAAGCTGCGCAGATTGCATGGCTACGTCACCAGTGCTGCAGTGCAGCACAGTCCAGTGCTGTCCTTCAGCGATGGCAGAAATGATCACGGCGGTTGGGAGATCGCCTCGTTTTCTAGTTGCATTTGATGCTGTAGCTAGTTAGGTAGCTCCATCCGTCACCGTAAGACGGACACCCTTTAGGCACTCCAGATCCTAAGGCTTCCATCATGTTGACCCCATTGACACAAGGTTGATAGTGAAAAGGAGCAAGGGGTGGCGGCGTTGCAGGGCCTCTTTACGACAAAGCGGTGGGGTTTCAAGCAGCAGTCATGGCACTCAACCGCAAGTTTCGAGAAACAGCTCGACCAAGGGAGACAAGGTTTCTCCACATAGAAGGCTCTCGCATTGCACTCAGGAAGCATTGTTGAGGTTTGCAGGTTTTTTTGAAGAAAGATGGCTCGCCTGCTCTGGCTAGCAGTTGCATTCCGAAGTGATGTGCGTTGGGTCAGGATTGCGTGCGTATCTAGCAGAAAATGCGCTTTTGTACGGTTGGCCGCTCATGGAAGGCTCTGCCTGTCATCTCGTCTGAATGTCGTCTGAACGTGAGAAGTTAGTTGGGACGACCATGTTGCCCTGCCGCAGCGTGCCACATCACGCGTTCCCGCAAGACCCTCCTTCTCCAGGCTGACGGCCTCATCCGCGCCATTACTGAAGGGTAAGCCCCGAAACACACCATCCCCAGACCCTAAACCCTAAACCCCAGTGCAGCTGGCAACTTGGGCAACTGGCTTTGTTTGAAGGGCTTACTGACAGCCCTGAACCCGGCATGGCCATTCGTGAGAAATCCAAAGGATGTGAGCAGTGAGAGCTAAGTATCCGGGCAGTGAAGCCACTTGAATTTGTTGCATGTGCTGTTGACGGTAGTGACCGTTTTGGTATTGGTAGCCGCACAGCAGAAGTCTGATTTGCGATGCAAGTGCAAGCGCTTGAGTTCCAACTTCTTACGTCTTTCGAATTCAGAATCTAGGATCAATGGCTCTTGGTTTTCCATGGCTTGACTACTTAAACTGTGAAGGTTTGAGCTGCACCGAGTTCCTCATCTTGTTAGTGAGTCTTTCTTTGAGTTTTCATAATGCGTGTTGTTGCAAAGGGGAGCCTCTCGGAACTTGTGCATAGGTCGGCAGCCCTGTGAATTCCTGTTCCTGGTCACCTAGGGGTTGTTCGAGCTTCAGCGGGATGTTCGTAGGGCTGCAGTAAGCTTGGCGAGTCTTCACCTGACATCCTCCGTAAATGAAGCCTATGCGGTCGGTCTACCGAGGAGGTTGCTGGGCCAGAGACTTGCGACCGACTTGTCTTGGAGTGCAGTTTCCCAGTGCGACCTAGTCAGCGAAGCGGGTGGGAAAGAAAAATCCTAAACCCTAAGCCTTGAACCTTCTATTCCAAGCTGATCTCCCAAAGGACGCCGTCTTCCTCAACCTGTTGCAGCTCAGCTGGAGAGTTCGGAGTTCGGAGATTTGTTTAGGATTCGGCCCGGCGGCGCTTGATCCTCTCGAGCCGTGTGGTTAACAGTAAGGCCTATAGGGTTTAGGGTTTAGGGTTGAGGGTTTAGGGTTTAGGGTTGAGGGTTTAGGGTTTAAGGTTTAGGGCTTAGGGTTGACAGTGTCTTCCATTGCGAGTTCCACACTCACACCTCACAGAAGTGTGCGCACGGTGGGTTCGAGTTCTGTCGCGTCCCCGCACTCTGTTTGGGCTTGGCATACAGGCCTGGTGAAGTGTTGTAAGTAGTTAGGCGGCCAGGCAACGTTCACAAGGCACATTTACGAATGCCCAAGCCACAACCACCGGTGAAGCAAGCATGGTACGAGCATCAGCACCTGCTGTTGCCTGCCTCATGATTAATACAGGCGCCTAAATACTTACCTACAGTATACTATGTTGGAGGTTCCTTTTTATAAGTAGAGTATAAAGGGCCCCACAACCCTATGCTAGTTTATTCAGGCCCCGACATGGGAGTTTCCGAAAATAAGGGGTACCTTATTGTGGGGTCCTTATAATAAGGATCCTACTATTTAGGGTACTATATTAGGGTCCCCTATTTTCGGAAACCCCCACATTATTCGTCGTACGAGTCGTAGCAGCAGCAGTCGTCGCCTGAACCCTGCTATCGCCGATGGTTACATGGTTCTTTCTGCTCCGCCACACCTCTAAACCCTAAGCCCTAAACCTTAAACCCTATAGATCCTAAACCCAAAACCCAAAACTCTAACAAACCCCGAACCCTAAACCCTAAATGCCAAACCCTAGCTTTCGACCCTCGCACTCGTGCGAACGAGCGTGGGGGTCGATTCCGGGGTTTTCAGATCCTTTGAAAGCTCGAGTTGGCTCAGAGGTACGGCTTGATGTACAGCCTGCCTTACGTGGTCCACGCGGGCTTGGCTGCATTTCAGATATCAGGAGCTCTTCGGAGGGTTTGGGGGCCAGGTTTGCTGAAGGGCGGGGTGGTTCTCGTGGTTCTCAAGCGGGTTTTGAAGCATGGCTGTCTTTGTTTGGGGGTCAGGATTGAGGATGCGAGTTCGTTTGTTTGAGCCCAGTGTTGAGGATTAGGAGCCAGGTTGTAGCGCAAAGCCCGCAATCCCAAACCGTGCAGAACGGCGACTTCGGTAAAGGCCACGGGCTTTCACGGGATCGGATCTCCGGATTCGCAAAGGTTCGGTCTGTTCTAGGTATCACTCTGCCCCAAAACCCCGTTCTAAATACCGCACATCACCCTTACCAGAAACCGCCTTTAAACAAATGAAACCAAAAGCACAAGTGTGTGTTTCAACAATCGGATCGCCGGCGTGTTTGCGTCCAGGGCTTGGGTGCGATATCGCTTTGCGCCGCAAGCGTAGTTGGAACATTTTGGGGCATACAGGCTGCCAAAGTTTTGTGAATGTTAACTTCGAAGCTTCACCCGAACGATCGACTTGTGCCTAGGCCTGTTAGCCAAGCCGTGCAGCAAGCAAAGGCGTGTTTAGACTGGGGGTCAGGTGTTGTATGTGTGCCGAAAGAAGCAGTAAAGTTCCCCTAAACCCTAAACCCTTATTCTGGTTGTAGCGAGAAGAAGTAGTTTGATACCGCAGGAGGCAGATTCAGATTCCTAACGCACCGTTGAAGACAAACACAAGGAATGTTGGGCTTCCCAAATGCAGGCAGTACGCCACATCCCCCTTCCGTTCAAAGATTGGAGCTGCCAAAGACCAAACCTGAGTTTGGGCCGAAAGCGGCACTGAGATCGTCATCTTTGCCAGCGACATCCTCCGTGCCCAGAGCCTGTGGACGCTGAGGTCCGTACTTTGGCAGCACTCCTCTAAGACCTCAGCGTGAATGTATGAGATTCATCAGAAGCACTGCTATGACTTCACAGGCCTGGGAAATAAAGTAAAGTCCCACACACAGAGTGCGTGAACGTTGTTTGAAGCTATTCGTTGAGATTTGTAAGAGGACAGCCAGTATCACAGTTCGCCACGCTCTCATGCAATCGACGTCTTGGCAAGGCTCATGACAGCTATAACAACGACGATCATTGATAATGATGCCAGTGCCTGCTATCGTTGACTTGACGAGTCTTATCATCATGTCATGGTTGCTGATAGTATTGCTTTCACGTCACGTTTCTGGAGCTTCATGTGCACTGCTTCAGAAAGTCTAAAGTATGTGCGCGGCTTCAGAAAGTAGGTTTTTTGGGGGTGGGAGGTCGAGGAAGGAACTGTTTGGCCTGTGTTGCTTGTGGGTATGCGCACCATTTGGGAGTTTCCGACTTTACGGTGTACCTTATTTGGGGGTCCTTACAATAGGGATCCTACTACTTAAGGTACTATATTAGGGTCCCCCTGTTTTCGCAAAACACCATACAAACCACAAGTGCGATAGAGTTGGGTTCAATGGGTCCTTTGCCTGCAACCTTTGCGACTCGACCCCAAAACCCTAGAAGCTACACCACCCCCGTCCTTGCTAAACCCTAAACCCTAAACCCTAAACCCTAAGAAGGAGGCCAGAAACACCAAACCCGGAATCCCGTGCTTCGTTCCAAGGCGCCCGGGAAGCGCACCAAGCCGATGCACAAGATCTACGAGAGGCCTTGTAGGGCCCATTTTGGGGTTTAGGGTTTCGGGGCTTAGGGTTTAGGGGGTCTAGGGTTTAGGGTTTAGGGGTTGGGGGTTAGGGGTTTAGGGTTTTTGATTGGCAGAGTCTGGGTTCAAAAAGGGTTTAGGGTCGGGTTTGGTTTAGGGCCAGGCAGACACTGCCGAGGCTGAATGTTCAATAACCAAATAATATATAGTTCAAACACCAGCTCCTATCTTCAAAGATCCCAAGCAGTTTCCGTCACCCTCGAGCCACATGCCCCTGTCTCTGCAACATTTTCAAGACTGTACCGCAGACAGGAGTATGAAGGAGTAAGACTAGGAGTAGGAGTAGAAGAGGAGGAGGGGTCGCAATGGGAGTGGGAGTAGGAGTAGGAGGAGTAGGAGTGGGAGTAGGAGTGGGAAGCGAGAGGTTCTTCGGAATCGACGGCAGCCTCTACGTCTTCAAAGTCGAGCCTGGACTGAGCGGAGTTGCAGGATTTCTGGATTTTTTTCGTGTGAGGGGAACTTTGGGTTTCGGGTTTGGGGACGTGGGTTTGGTGACGGCATGAGGGTCCAGAAGGCAAGGCCGCAAATGTGAGTCTTTCATGTGAAGCCGCGAACTTTGCAAGCTAATCATAGTAGCGGAATTGTAACATCGCAGCCTTTGCAGTACATTCATAGTGAGCCACCATTATAGTAACCGTAACCCCGATGATGCCAAGCTTGATGAAGCTAAAATGCACGCATGTTATCGTAGCCTTTAGTTATCGTCGGTCCATGATTCACAGCTGTGTAGTAGCCCTGATGGAGCTACCTAAACCCTAAACCCTAAACCCTAAACCCAAAACCGCCGACCTGCTGAGGCGGTTCTCCAGCTCTTCACCGTGCTTCTCCAGTCCTGCGGGAAGCTGGCCCTGCTAGGCATCCTGGTAAAAGAAAACTACAGGTTTAGGGGTTTAGGGTTTAGGGTTTAGGGTTGCGATCCTTATCCTGGAAGCTTCTGGGAGATCGGGGCGGGGGGGAAGCCAGAAAGCGACAGCCTGATTATGACCCAAAGCATCCTGAAAGCCCAACACCCTAAACTCAAATACTGTGCGCCGAAGACTCCGAAGCGAACCCGAAGAAAAAGACAGACGCCCACAATGACAAGCAAATCATAGATTCCGTGCTTACGGGGCTTTGTGTTTTGAGGGTTTCACAAGTTTGGGGTTTAGGGCTCTGACTCTATTATACCGTCAGAGTTTAGGGTTTGGGGCAGGGGTTAGGGGTTTAAGTTGATGGGGTTCATCAATGGAGCCTTTCGGGCCCAGATGATGCGAAGTAGGCGAGGCTGTTGGGTTTAGGGCTTTGGGGTTTAGTGGTTTGGGGTTTGGGTTTAGGGCAAAAGGGTTTCCACAGAGTCAGGCCCTAAATTCCTGAATCCCTAGAAGCCCTTGCAACCCCGAATCCCTAAACCGGCCACCTGTAAAACATAAGGCCTTTTTTTTTAACTAGCCCTTCTGGACCCCGTATTGAGCCCTTACAGGAAGCCTTCCACAACCCTAAGCCCTTAGTCTGCAGATGCATGGTAGGTGCCATCGTCACAGCCGGCGAGTATGCTGATGCGCAAGAACATGGACCTAGTTTTTCTTCGGGCTTCTGCGGTCCTAAGCCCAACACCATAGGGGTGTTTTGAGTCAGTTGCAGAAGGCTATTCGAAGCGTTGAAGGGTTCAATATTGCGGGGGTATGAAAATTTCGCAATAGTGTGACAGTGTCCCGTTGTAGTCCCCTATACATACATACATACATACATACATACATACATACATACATACATACATACATACATACACATATACATATACGTATACATATACAAAT